ATTGGCTGCTTTGAGAGTTACCTTAGACATATAAGGTGTTACCTTTCAGTATCATTATTGTGTTGGTGCCACTTATTGAAGTGAGAAAATCTCTAAGAGATATTGATATGGGAGTGAAAAAAAAATGCTTTTGATTTGTTAAGTTTGAGATGTCTTTGGGTAGCAAAGTAGAAATATCAAGGAGGCAGTTTGAGAAGGGCTATTTCATATAAAGGAATGGCGTGGTATTGACCTTTGCCTCTCAGATTAGGGGAAAATATCCAATTATTTCATCTGACTCCCTTTGCTTTGATTGGCAGGAGCACCAGGGGCCTTTCTGAAGGCTCATTCAAAGCACTTGAAGAGAAAGGATTAACACTATTTGCTGAGAGTAAAAGAAGGAATGCAGTGTTTAAAGAGATGTAGGCATTCTTTCTAGTCCTTCCAATTTCTCCCATCCTAATGAAGGTGAAGATAACAATTGGGTTGTGAAGGGTAGACCATAGAAAGAATGGCTTAACTGGAGTGGCAGTGGGAGTGGACCATGGTGAGGGGAGTTATTGGGATGATAGGCTTTCTAAAGAGCAGGCATGAAAAAAAAAAATGCAGCCAAGATCAATTGTCCACATAGTTAATAAAGTAACCACTAAAAGGAATTGCACTGTCCCTGCCTAAGATTTGGGAAAGTGTGTACAAGAGTCTGAACCCAGAATGAAAGTCATGGTGGGGCTGATGAGTCTCAAAGCATTTTTTGAAGTAACGTTTTCGTTTGATTTCAAATTAAATGTGTAAAACTTGGAAAATACAGGGAAATATAAAATAGAACATTGTAGTTATATTATGATATAACCTTATAGTTCATTTTTCTAAACAATGTAATTTTAAACATATTTTTCCTTAGTGATCTATGATCTTTCCCACATCATTACATGATACATTTATTGATTATTATTAAATGGCTGTATAGTATCTCAATCTACATATGAACCATAACTTGTTTATTAATCCTTTGTTTTTTAGAATTTCCAAATTTTTCACTTTTATAAGTACATTTTTTTAAAATAAATTTATATAGATAAATCTTTCTACTCACAATTGCTTCCTTAGGGTTTTTGCTAAAACCAAATGTCATATTTTTATGGTTTTTAATGCATAATGACTTATTGTCCTCCAAAACGATTATTCAGACTTTCAAAATTCAGCAGTATTTGTAAATGCCCATCTCTCCTAACCAACACTGGGTATTATAACTAAAAAAAAAAAAAAAAAAAAAAAAAAAAGTTGCTAGTTTAACTGATAAAAAAAATTGTATCCTTGTATATATATATCTTTAGTATTCTTTCCTTTTTCTTTCCTTTGTAACTTACCTGAGCAAAGCCTCTTCCCACTGTACTAATGGCATGTTAATCTTTTCCTGATTCCTTCTTTCCTAACATTTTATTTGGAAACTACAGGGCTGGTGCATGAAATTTGTGCATGGTAGGATCCCTAGGCCTCCCTGCCTCCCTGCCTCCTCCTTCCCTCAGTGCCCTACCAAGCAATCAAACTCCCGCTCTCCCAGTTGAACTCCTGATGGGACAATTTGCATAGTAGTGTTCAGGAATAAAATTTGGGTAATAAAACCGCAAAGAAAATCAAAGTGATAACCATAAAACTCACAAGGATATTTTTTTAGGGTGAGGGGACTTTGCTGGGACCAGGAATATGAAGCTTCTAGGGTAGCTGGTAAAGTTTTCTTTTTTGGCCTGGATGGTAGTTACAAGAATGTTCTCTTGATAATAATTTGTTATATTATGTATTTTAAATGTAATTTCCTATATCTTACAATTTTATCATATTTTACTATAAAAAGGTTTAAAAATAAATGAATCTGTTATTTGTGTGCATGATGTTTTAAAATTATTTTTTGGAAACGAAGTCATTCTGCAAGTAGGGCAAACCCATTGATAATCTAAGTAACATTTCATTGTTCAGTATAAGCTATTTTAAGGTACATTTGGATAATGACTTGATGAACAGTTTATATAAACTTAAATTGGAATATTAATCATTCTTCATATATTAACTTTTAGTATTGTTACAAAACCAATTATATAAGATCAAGACAAATGTTTATTTCAGTTTTAGGATTTCCATTTGGTTCTTTTCAATAGTTTCTATTTCTCTGCTAAGATTTTTCTTATCTTTTCATTAATTACAGTCAATTCTGTGAGTAGAATTATAATTGCTCCTTTAACAATCTCTGCAAATTTCAATATTTGGTTCAATTCAGAGTCGGTCCCTATTAACTGTCTTTTCTGTTGAGAATAGGCTATGCATTTCTGTTTCTCCTATATGAGTAATTTTTATTCTGGACATTGTGAATGTTATGTTATGCAGATTCTATTGGTCGGCAACTACGTAATTGCGGATTTAAAAAAGAAAATCAAAGACAATTTTTTCATGGAACTAAATAACTTTATTCTGTAATGCATTGCCCATTTTGATCAATGACCTTTTGCCATTTTTCAGGCAGCATCATAATCCCACGTTCAAAAAACTTCTGGTTTTTATTAGCAAAAAACTGAATCAGGTACTATTTGACATCATCATCATTATTGAAATTTTTACCATTCAAGGAGTTTTGTAAAGATTGAAACAAAAAGTAATCAGATGGTGCAAGGTCAGGACTATATGGTGGATGTGGCAAAACATCCCAACCAAGCTCCATTAATTTTTGCCGAGTGACCAAAGATGTGTGTGGCCTTGCATTGTCATGATGGAATACAACACCTTTTCGATTTGTCAATTCGGGCCGCTTTTCTTCAACTGCATTGTTTAATTTCGTTAGTTGTTCAATGTAGACATCAGAATTGATCGTTTGGTTGGGTGGTAAGAGTTCAAAGTAGACAATTCCTTTGTAATCCCACCAAACTGATAACAAAACCTTCTTTTGATGAATATCAGCTTTTGATGTTGTTTGAGTTGGTTCACCTGGCCTGCTCCACGATCTTTTCCGCTTGATATTGTTGTAAACAACCCATTTTTCATCGCCAGTTATCAGTCGTTTTAAAAATGGATCATTTTCATTACGTTTCTTTAGCAAATCGCAGCTGCTAATGCGTTGCGTTAACTGTGATTCTTTCAGTTCGTGAGGAACCCATGTATCGAGTTTTTGAACATAGCCAAGTTGTTTTAAGTGATTTTCAATGCATGTATGTGATACATGAAGCTTCTCTGCAATCTCACGTGTTGTACTGTGACAGTCCGAATTGATTATTGCTTTGATTAGGGCGTCATCAACTTCAACTGGACGACCAGAGCGTTTTTCATCTTTGAGTGAAAAATCACCAGAACGAAATTTGGCAAACCAATTTTGACACTGCTGTTCTTTTAAGGCTTCGTCACCATAAACAGCACATAACTTTTTATGAGCTTGCGATGCGTTTTTCCCTTTGCGGAAATAAAAAAGCAAAATATGACGAAAATGTTCCTTTTGATTTTCCATTTTTCAACGAACGCCAAACGAAAACTACAAAACAGATAAAAAAAACTTTTTTTACTGATTAACAGCTGAATAGCCAACTATCAAATAACAAAATGTGTTTTACATTTGTACTACGTCTGCAAACCTAAAAATTCAACTGAAGCCATATATGTGTGAAACCCGCAATTACGTAGTTGCCGACCCAATAGATTCTGTTATGTTTCTCCAAATAATGGCAAGATGCTGTTTCTTTATCAGACAGTTACTTTGGCCTCATAGTTCCATTCTCTTATCTTTAACTAGTCAGGTTGGAATATGCCCTGTGCACATGTAGTCCTGAGCTCAGCCAGACATGTGGGCAGAGTTTCTATGCAGCATTTAGGATCCTTCTCTCTGGCTCTCTCCTATTCAGAATTTATCCTTCACAGCAGCTGTGATTTCCCCAAACACTATGCTCTAGTTATTCAGGCCAGAATGACTGTGAGTTTGCTATGAATTTTAGTTTTCCCCACATGGTGAGTGTAGACTGGGACCTGCTCTCAAGAGTAAAATCATTAAGCAAACAAGTAAAAACCTGATACCATGCTGTCACCTCACTCCGAGTGCTAACATCCCTCCAGAATTTGCCTGCTTGGTTACTTTCCAATATCTTCACACAGGGGTTTTTCATTTTTTTAAAAAATGTTATCCAAAGTTTAGACTTTTATTTAAATGGAGATCAGTCTGATAGTTTACTTGGCCATAAAAGTAGAAATAATATGAAGATAATAAGAATGTTTTTCTAAGTAAAATAATGATAAAGAAAAAACCCTATAGTCAGACTAACAGATTAGATTTATTTTGGCAAAGAAAAATCCTTAGACTATATATTTATAATTTCAAGGAAATCTGCATATATAACCTCAAATAGAATATGAATATAAGAAAAGTAATAAATGAAAAACGTGTTTAAAAAAGGAAAACAGCCCAATTGGAGTGGCTCAATTGGTTGAACATTGTTCCATGTACCAAAGGGTTACCAGTTGAATTCCAAGTCGGGGCACCTATCTGGTTTGTGGGTTTGATCCTCCAGTCAGGAAGCAGAGGGAAGGCAACCAATCCATGTTTCTCACTCACATGGATTCTTCTCTCCCTTCTTTTTTTCTTCCTTCTTCCTTCCTTCTTTCTTTCTTTCCCTCCTTTCCTCCTTTCCTTTCCTTTCCTTTCCTTTCCTTTCTTTCTTTTTTTTTTTTTTTTCTTTCCTTTTCCTTTCCTTTCTTTCCTTTCCTTTCCGTTCCTTTCCTTTCCTTTCCTTTCTTTCCTTTCCTTTCCTATTCCTTTCCTTTCCTTTCCTTTCCTTTCCTTTCCTTTCCTTTCCTTTCCCTCCTTTCCTTTCTTTCTTTCTTTCTTTCTTTCTTTCTTTCTTTCTTTCTTTCTTTCTTTCTTTCTTTCTTTCTTTCTTTCTTTTTATCTCTCTAAGCATGTCCTTGGGTAAGGATTTTTTTAAAAAGGGAAAACAGTTACACTTTAACTATTTTGAAATAAAATATTTGTACCACTTTTGTATTATTTTTAGGAAAAAGTCTAATGAAGCTGATGAATGTCAAAGAGAACTTAGAAAACTGAAGTTTGAATCCATTATTTCTGAATCAAGGTATACATTGCAAATATTTTAATTAATAATTTTTTAGTAATTAAGTTTGAAACCACATTTTTCGCCGAGACCAGTTTGGCTCAGTGGATAGAGTGTTGGCCTGCGGACTGAAAGGTCCCAGGTTCGATTCCGGTCAAGGGCATGTATCTTGGTTGTGGGCACATCGCCGGTAGGGAGTGTGCAAGAGGCAGCTGATTGATGACTCTCTCTCATCAATGTTTCTAACTCTCTATCTCTCTGTCTTCCTCTCTGTAAAATATCAATAAAATATATATTTTTAAAAAGTTTGAAACCACATTTTAAATAACATTTTATTTAATATGTACTTTGGCTTTCTTAAAAAAAAAAAATATATATATATATATATATAATCCTATATAATATCTTGAAGCTGTTTATTGACTTTTGCTTCTAGGTAAATGGGAAAATTATAATAGCAGAACTATCTATTTCCTTAGCATTCTTAATTTTTTTTAAAAAAATATTTTATTGATTTTTTTTACAGAGAGGAAGGAGAGGGAGAGTTAGAAACATCGATCAGCTGCCTTCTGCACACCCCCCACTGGGGATGTGCCCACAACCAAGGTACATGCCCTTGACCAGAATCAAACCTGGGACCTTTCAGTCCACAGGCTGACGCTCTATCCACTGAGCCAAACCGGTTTCGGCAGCATTCTTAATTTTTATAAGTTAAAGTTATAGTCTATAATTTCAAATGAAAATTTCCATACCTTTAATAAACATGAAAATATAGTATCTAATGCACATTGATGGAATTTTTTTCTATTTCTTTTTAGGCATACTAGATTGCTTAAAGAGAAAGAAGACTCTTTAATAGCTTGTCAACAACTACATAAAACTTTACAGGAAGAACTGACTGCAAAAGGAAGGCAAGAAGAAGATATAAAAAGGAGTATTGACCTTGCAGAAAATGAACTGGAGACAACAAAAACTCTTCTGAATCAGACAAAGGAAGAGGTTATAACACTGAAAAATGAAAGGTGCAGTCAAGAATAATTTCTTCCAAAAATAGTTAATGTTTATGTCAGTATTCCATATATATTTGAAACATCAATGTTCTGAAATCCCCGAATTAAAGATATATTTCACCTGAATGGTTGTTACATCCCATGACCTCACTTTACAGGGATCAAACTAAAGCTTAAATTGGCTAAATTTCTTGCTTAAAGTTATAGAGTTAGTTAATGAAAGTAGAGTTGGAACCCATATTAGTATTAGATTTTTATTGAAAATATTAAAAAAAGACCACATGTGATACTTTACTGAATTTTACTTGGTCCATTCACTGGTGGAATCTGACATTTTCCAGTAGAGAAAACTCTTTTTATACCACTTTTTCTTTTATTGCTTTCTATTTTTCTTCTTTGTTATTTGTCAACATCTCTTATTGAGGACTTGCCATAAGCACAGTTACCTCTGGTATTGAGGTAGTATCAAGGATGCTAAGAAACATATTCATCCAACCTTCCTAGATATTTTTGCCAATAGAATATGGAGCCCAGAAATAAGTCCACATCTTTATGGTCAGTTAATATTTGGCAAAGGAGGCAAGAACATAAAATGGGGTAAAGATAGTCTATTCAATAAACAGTGTTGGGAAAATTGGTCAGATACGTGCAAAAGAAAAAGAAAGGAAGGAAGGAAGGAAGGAAGGAAGGAAGGAAGGAAGGAAGGAAGGAAGGAAGGAAGGAAGGAAGGAAGGGGGGAAGGAAGATAAACTAGATCTTATACCGTCTTACACCATACATAAGAATTAAACTCAAAATGGATTAAAACTTTAAGCACTCAGTCCGTCACCGGTGACTGACACTATACTTTCTGTCCAGAAGACAAAACAGGCTGGGTGCTTAATTAGATGTTAGACTCAAAACCATGAAAACACTAGAAGAAAACATAACAGTAAATCTAGGACATTTCTCATAGCAATATTTTTTCTTCTGATATATCGCCTTGAGCAAGGGAAACACAGAAAAAATAAACAAATGGGACTATATCAAACTGAAAAGGAACACTTCCTAATTCACACCCAGAGGGGAAGTCAGTTTTTTTGCACTGCCTCGCAGAGCTGTGGCCCTCACCTGTGAAGCAGGTGTGAGTTTGCACATTTTCCACATAAGGAAATAGGTTAAGTGATAAGGAAATAGGTTAAGTGAGGTGAATTTCTCGCTCAGGGTCTGTGTGTCTAACCTTTATAACCCATGTTGCCTCTCCTACAGTTTGCACAACTTCCTCAGCATCTCCCTTAAAAGGCCCGATTTTGTCAGCTTCTGTCCATGTGAGCGCTGTTTCTCAACCATGTTGTAACATGGTCTTCAGGGGCCTCCCAGCCCTGCAGAAAGAAGAAAGAAAACAGTGTTCCCTCTCTCCCCACCCCTCTCTCTCTTCCCTCACCCTCACACTCTTTCAGGATTCTCCCACTCACTGTAAATAAATACAACGTAGTGAGTTTTGTCTTCTACTCTCAGGCAAAATCAGAAGTAGAGCTATCTCTTCAGAATGAAAATATGATACACACATTTTTACAGCACATTCTAGAGGAAGAGAAGATTTGTGTGCATTGTGGCTTGTCCTATTTTCATGGAGGCTAGAAGCAATAAGAAGCATAGAATATAGAAAGGGAGCTGGAAGCAATGTTTTAAGGTTTGTGAGCTTTTGGTAGCGTGGCTTAGCATTTTTAAAAACGGACTTTAGAGTTAAGCAAACATAGGTGTATATTTCACCTTGACTAGTCTCAAGTTTAGACAACGTAATCATTAAAGGTTCATTTTCCTTACCTGTAAAATGGGCATATTAGTAACAGCTATCTTTTTGTGAAGATTAACGTATCTAGTATTATGCCTGGTAGATTGTTGGTGCTCACAATGTATTAATTCCCTCCCTATCATTGTTCCTTATATTGCTAACCCTTCAAAGGTCATATCTGATTAATTTTTATACCTTGCACTGGTGATGTAGATATTCAGTAAGTGTGTGTATTGAATTCAAGATTATCTGCCTTACTCTTAAAGAGATTACTAGTCTATGGAGTGAATCCATTTGGATGCCATACTATTAGTATAAAGGATTATGAAATGAAGTGTCCTCAGGAATATCATTCCAAAATAACAAACCTTATCAGGGTTTCCCCCCAAGACTCGCTTCTTTCTCTGATTTCCTCTTCATCAACAGCTCTCAGAGCAAGAGGCTGACTTCTTATATCACAGACTTACTGCTTTTAACAGAGGCAGGAGTTGTGACAAAATCAAAATTATCTCTTTGATTGAAAATGTGAAGACATCTCCTTTAGAACAACTTGTGAAACAGAACTGAAAGCTGTCATTTGGCATTATGGTTTGACATTTGTTTGCAGTTACGTTTTTACTACAATTAAGGGAATCTCGGTGTTTGCGTGTATGCAAGAAATTAGATTCTCGTTTGCTTTTCAATCTAAGAACTTAAAAGTTAAAGTTTTAAAAACAAATCCTCTTAATTGTGTGTAGATACTAGTTTGCCTATTGTGCTAACTCCTAAAACATTATTTTAAAAATATATCTGGTGACATTGCAGGGTAGAATGCTACAGATGGCCAGCTCTTCTCCCACATATGAAAAGTGAAGGCAGCATTACATACTGTAGACAGTCCTAGGCTGGTACGAGCTGGAGCCAGCTCTGCCTCCTGTGAATAACGCCACTTCAGAAAGATACCGACCACTCAGGGTCTTCATTTCTTCTAAAAATTGGGAATTTTCTTAATTATTTCCAAAGACTGGCAAGAAAAAAAACCTACTGTATCCCTAGAGACTAAAACAGCCTGACATCTGGTAGACACTCAATTAATACTGGATGTATAGATGGGAATGAATTTAATCCCAACCAAACTACTGAACACAGGGTTTAAAACTCAGAAGCCCCCAGTGATTCAGGCTCAGAGAGTTTATGACTTGCTAAATATGAGAGCTGGGAGTTTAATTCTGTATTCTAGTGAAAATCTTCTTGATTGGATTCTTAGTCAATCCAAATTTAGGACCTGATGTTGTGTTGTTTCCTGTAAACGTAAAGCAGCAATATCTGTAGAAGTGGTTCTAAAGGGGAAATTGGATAACTGCCTGACATCCAGAAATAGCTACACATTTTCAGCTTTTTATAACATGGAAAAGATAGAATACATCTCTAACAATTGTGTTTCATTTCTTATCATTCCTCTACACATCTAGCAGAAAGGCTCACGAGAGTCCAAGTTGATTCTTTACTAGTTCTTTCAGCACAATATTGTCTTTCTTTATCAGTGTCTTTCTGTTTTAAAAAATTTATCTTTATTGTTGAAAGTATTGTAGATGCCCCCTTTGGATTTTTCCCCATTGACCCCTCTCCACCCACACCCACCTTTGATTATCATGAAATAAGCATTGACTAGTGCATACAGAGGTGATTATATGCATGAAAAAGATACTCCTGATTCCAAGAATAAAAACCACACTTACATAGTACACTATGAAAGATCTTGCACCTTGTCCAGGGGATGAGAAGGTGGGTAGGGAGAGGTTAACCAGGAAATGTATATGCATATATGCATGCTAATCAAGGACAGTTAAGTGTTTGTAATATCACATAGAGTCATTCTTTCTGCCTTGTGCCATGAAAGACTCACACTAAAGAGCTTTTGGAGTTATAAGGAATCAAAGACATATGACCATCTTTATTTCTGTAGTCATATCAAGCAAACTTACCATCACAGGTGTAAGTTTATAATTTTTATAACAGTTCACTCAAAACACCTTATTTTTGCACAAATTCATAAGGAACTTAATAGTTCTTTGAAACTTCAGTGAATAGTTATACTTCATTAATATCATTTCAACCTTGGCCTACTATATTTTAGCTTTCCTAATATACTAGACTTTCCCAGTTTTGTTCTAAAAGGATACACTTAACAGTGGGATGTTTTGTACTGGGTTTATCAGAGTAAAGTATATGAAGTAGATTCTACTTTTTGGTGATATCAAAATTATATTTATAGCTAACTATCTATAGCTATCAAACCTATCTCAGTTTGGCTCAGTGGATAACGTGGACCTGTGAACTGAAGGGTCGCAGGTTTGATTTCAATCAAGGGAACATACCCAGATCGGGGTGGGTGTAAGAGGCAACCAATCAATGTGCTTCTCTCATATTAATGTTTCTCTATTTGTCTCAACCTCCTCCTTCCACTCTCTCTGAAAATCAATGAAAAAACATAACCTCGGGTGAGGATTAACAAAACAAAACAAAAAAAATGTAACTATCTCCAGGGAGACTGAAATTCAAGCATCTTAAATATTTAGTATTATCCATTTTAATAGTGAAGATAACCTATAATGTACTCACAGACACCCATCTGAAAATGCTTCTTGGAATTTTCTAATCAGTAAGACCTTTTTTCAAATAGGAAACCTGGCTTAGAAATAAAAGTGAGTGAAATGTCCAGAACTCTGCTGTCTGGTTACTCCTAACAAGCATACGGCCAGCCACAACCATTCTATGACAATGACATTCTATGAAACCAGGTGAAGTGCTGCTTTATTTCCATTGACCACTGTTTCCCCCCCTCTTTTTTTTTTTTAACAAGTTTACTATTATAGGTACTAATCTTATACCTGAAGTTTCGTAATATCACTTGAAGGCAGACCATTCTATTAGTTTCCTATTGCTGCTATAACAAATTAACACAGATTTAGTGGCTTAAAACAATACAGTTTGTTATCTTATAGTTCTGGAGGTGGCAAAACCAAATTAGTGTTAAGGGACTAAAATCCAGATGTCAGGAAAACTGGTTCTTTCTGGAGGCTCCAGGGTAGAACCCATTCCTTGCCTTTTCTAGATTAGAGGCTGCTGGCATTCCTCGGGTCCTGGACCCATGAATCCAATCTGCTTCTGTCGTCACATCATCACCTTCCCCCACATTAACTTTCTTCTCTATATAAAGAACCATGGTGATTACACTTAGAACTCATCCAGATAATCCAGGATAATCTCTACATCCCAAAATCCTTAATCACATATGCAAAGTCCCTTTTGCCATATAAGGTAAATAGTCTATGAAAAGGATAAAAGTTGACAAAGCTGTTTCACAATAGGGCAGAATCTCTAATGCCCACTTCCAATGCGGTCAACATAGACCAGTGCATATCAGAGAGGAAAGCCAGGAGCCATGGAGAAAACTGGACTGAGAAATCACTTCCGCATGAAAGAACCATGGACTAAGCAAAGAATGTTCCCACCTCCAGGGTGGGAATCCTCATAGCGGCTTCCAGTAGGATTTCAGAGTTGTGATGGACTCCACCTAGTGCCAGGTGACTTATGGTGCACTTCCCAATGAGAGGACTATGCTATCCACATTTGTTTGACATCACACATGGCCGTTTGACTTGTTCTCGACACTGAAATATAAGAGAAGTGATATGTATCAATTCTAAGCAGAAGATTTAACAGGTCCTATGTTTTGTTAAGTTTTCTTTTCTACAAATCACAAAATCAACATTCCCAGGTAAGAGTTACTCCTTGGCCTACATCCTGGAACAAAAAATGGAGTAGAGCAGCAGATGCCACCTAACGAGCAAAATGTAAACTAGTATTGTAAGCCTCTGAGATTACCAACAAGTTAAGTTTCGGATGTCTCTGAAATACAAAATTAGAGCAGTCAGGTAAAGAGTTGGATGCATGAGTCAGATGCATCGGAACTAGAGATATGAGCTAGAGATAAAATTTGGGAGCTGTCAGCATCTATATTGCATTTTAATTATAAGAGTAGATAAGATCACCTAGAGAAAGAGAAGAAAGGAAGTAAAAAGGGCCAGAACAAAGTGCTGAGAACACAAATATTAATTGACAAGTAGAGGAAGATGAGTCTGCAGAGGAGACAGGAATGGCCGAATCCTCCTCCTTTGTTCCGTCTGTGTCTCTTGCTGTTCTCCAGCCTACAGACTGCTGAGCAAGCATCGGAGTCTGGTGATCTGCTTCACACTTTCAAAGATAAAGCTCCCTTTGTACGGCTGGATTTTGAGCACCATTTGGACAGGGACCCTACCTCTGTCCCTGCAAGGCCTGATGACGCCTCCTTGCTCATAGTATGCAGAGTGGTCAATAAACCCCACCGTACTACTAATATGCCTTTCTCTCACCTTGGTTTCTCCCTTAAATTCGTTTTCCTCCACATACACATTCTACTCCACACTTAGTCTTTATTATTATCATTCATTTTTATAAATATTGAGTAGATACATAGAAGGTTTATGTAGGTGTAAAGTTTAAAGAAGTATAACACAACGAACATCTATGTATCAATCACTCAGTTCAGGAAAAAGAACCTTGCCATTAGCTTTGAAGTCAATCATGCTTCTCCCCAATTCCACTGCATTGCATCCTCCCACAGAGGAAACCGCCAACCTGCATTTTGTGGCTGTCAGCAAACTAGGAATAAAAAAGCATCTACAGCTAACACCTGCAGCTTGTCAGTTACTTTGCTCACTATTTCTTTTGGCATGTCTGACCTTGCTTCTGAATGTATTTCTTTTTGCAAAGCATATTATTTCATGCTCCTTTAGTTAGTGCCAAACACTCAGGTTTTATTTCAGTCTCATTCTTAAAGATAGTTTTGCTGGGTACCCAACTTTAGGTTGATGGTTATTTTCTCATTGGATTTTGAACATATTATTTTACTGTCCTTGGTTTCTTTTGGTTCTATTGGAAAATAAGTTTTCATTTTATTTGGGTTCCTTGGAAAATAATGTAGTTTTTTTTCTCTTTGGCTTTTAGGATCTCTTTAACTTAGATGTTCATAATTTTCTACTACCAGGTGCTCAGATGTAAGATTTATTTTTATTTATCTTACTTAGAATCCATTGAGCTTCTAGATTTGTGGGTTGTTGTTTTCATCAATATGGAATATTCTCCTCAGATATTTCTTCCTTTCTTTTTCTCTCTCCTTTGCTTCTGAAATAGTGAATAAGTATATGATCTTTTTAATATGTCTTCCAGATAGCCACTTCTCTTGTTATATTTTTGACTCCCTGTACCACACTCTATGTACTTCCTTTGAATATCCCTTTTAACTTATCACTTCATTTTTTCAGCTATGAATAATCTGCTACATGGCCATCCACAGAGCTTCCAATTTCAGCTACCATATTTGTCACATATTTGTCATTTCTACAAGTTCAATTTGGTTCTTTTTCAAACTTAGTCACTTAAATCACTTTTATTTCTTTTTTTCTACTGTATTGAGCATCCTTACTTTATATTCTGTATATGAAAATTTAATACTTTAGAATTTGTGAGTTTGATTATGCTGTCTTTTTGTTTGTTCATTCTTCCTATTATTAACTTTTCAAAAATAGTTTTGTGATTTTTTTAAAAACTATGTTCTCATAGGTCTTATCTCTTTATCAGTAGGAATTCTTTGAGCCCCAGTTTTAAGATAGTTTTCTCTCCAAAATATTGGTGTTTTTCCTACCAGGAATCTGGAGACAAGGTTAACCTAGCACCACTTTAAGTTATCATTTCAACATGAAATGTTTGGGACCACTCAGGTAATATGAATTCAGGATATAAATTTGCATTAGGGTTGGTTGATTTCTTATGTGATATTTGTATTTTTCTCTCTACTTAGCACCAAAATTCAAAGCCAGTTGTTTCCTTTTTGTACCTTGAGAGGAGATATTAGTTTTATTTTACACATACGAGTGTGAATTTCACACATATACTGTAAGTTGCTCTTTGTGATGCAACTTCATTCAGGTGAGTGTCCTCTGAGACTCTTCCTTTGTCTCCTGATTCCTGTGCCCTTCATGCCTATAAATTTTAAAGCTCAACTTCATCATATTTGGAAAGTACTTTCAAGATGAGAGTTAGCTTCAGTGCTCTACTTATTGCTGGGGTTCTTCCAATTAATTTCATTGTTTTTAACCTTTCATTTGGAATAATTTTATATTTATATCAAAGTTACAAAGACAGTACAGAGAATTGATGTTTCCCATTTAGCCTATCTTTCTTAATCATGGTAAAACTACTTTTCTGTACAAAACTAAGAAATTACCATTGGTATAATGTAATTAACCAGAAGACTACTCAGATTTCAGTAGTTTTCCACTGATACTTTGTCCATTCTTTCATTTTGAGTTTTGTCCTCTTTATCTTTCTTACCTTTTTGTCCAGTTAGTTGACAAATTCTTATATTTTATATAATAAATAAAATAGTTTTACTTGGTTTTAGTAGAAAAGTGTAAAGGTATCTTATCCAACACATTTTCTGGAAAGAGAAGCCTGGAAAGTTTTGTTTTCTCAACCACTTTTCCTCAAGTGATATTTATACCTCTGGTTACTAAGTTAAATTTGTCTTCTTATGTTTGTGTCTTTAAAATTTTCTAGACTAGAAATGTAGGCACTATTTTTATTACAGTAAAAAAATTTTTAATAATACAATGAGTGAAACTAGAATAGAGATCAAGAGATAGACAGAGAGTCTATTACGATACACTAGGTGGAAGATAAAGTCAAGAAGCTTAATGAAGTTGTTGGTAGTGGGAAAGGAAGGGAACAAATAGTTCAACAAGAAGGAAGTGGAATACATAGAACTTGTTATTGAATGGATGTGGTAGAACAAGGAGAAGGTAGAGTTGGAGATGGCTCGGGAATTCCAAACAAAGATTTTGATTGTTAAAGAAAAGTTTTCAGAAGCCAAAAGGAAAGGCAAGATTGCAGGATATGACAATGAATTTGTGTTTTGATGTGTGAAATCTTTGGTGTTGATGCATCACTAGGATACAGATGTCCAGCAGCAGTTATAAATGAAAGTCACAAGTTTGAGAAAAGGGATCAGAGTAAAAGGAAGAGGTTGGTAATGGAAAACAAAGGACTTAGGAAGAGGAATAAGGAACAGGGAAGAATCTCCTACATAGAAAGTAAGAAGAGTCATGATTGTAGAAACAGGAAGGCACCCTAAGCAACAGGCATGCATTTGCCACTACTTGTGATAGTCAGATGCTAATTTTGGTGCCTCTGGGAAAGGTTCTCATGAATCACCCACATTACCTCCACCCCAAGAATAATAAACTAAACTTTGGGATCCATTTATGCGGGTTAAAATATTAAATGTTCTTTGTGTTTTCAGTTTTCTAATGTTTTGTACTATACCATATCACACCTCGGACTTTACCCTCCACTTAATTTGGTTTGTTCCAATCAGCATTTGAGATAAGTAAAAGAAAAATAAATCTAGCAGAAACCACAAACATGCTGATTTTATGGCACTTCCCAATGTATTTTCCTTTAAAAAAAAAAAAAAAAGCAAAGCAAAATATTGTCTAGTGTTAGAATTTAGTCATGAATTTTAGAACCACAATGAAAAACATTTTATTATACTTTTGAATCCATATATATTGTTACTATTACATTCAAAAATAGCATTACTTACTATACAGAAATTAAGCCTGAGAAAATCCTTACTATGCAATGTTTGTGAATTATTGCTAACAGTAAAAATCATATCTGGTAGGATCTATCTATCTATCTATTACTAAAGAGTATAAACAGACTAAATTGTGAAATTATATTCTCTGATGAGACTTGACTCATTTGTCAGGTTTATGGTTTTCAGGGAACTGATGCTGATTTCACATCAGAAGAGCATCGAGCAGCTGCAGGAGGCCCTTCGACAGAAGCGGCTGGATGATGCTAACTGGAGGGAAAAGGTAATGAGAATGTAGCTTTCATCAGCATGTGTCTTACTTGCTCCTTTAAAGTCTGTTTATTTGCCAGAAGACTATTCCAACTAGATTTCTTTGCTTCTATGCACATACTTGGTTCCTTCTGGAACTTCCTAGACCAATGCACCATGCACAGTGCACTGGAGCCTTCCCAACTCTTTTTCTTCCCCAGCTGGTACCCATCCCTAGCACAAACTGCTGCCATGGTTTCCTGGTTATGACTTAAATTGATTCATATGGGCAACAACTAAATTTGAGAATATGAACTAAAGTTGCTCTAAATGTCTCATTCTTATTTTGTTTCATTTTTTAGCATGGTCTTTTTCTTCTCTAAAGTTCCTACTTCTTTTTTTTTTTAAATATATTTTATTGATTTTTTACAGAGAGGAGGAGAGAGGGATAAAGAGCTAGAAATGTCCATGAGAGAAACATCAACCAACTGCCTCTTGCACACCCCCTACCAGAGATGTGCCCGCAACCAATGTACATGCCCCTGACCGGAATCAAACCTGAGACCTTTCAGTTCGCAGACCGACGCTCTACCACTGAGCCAAACCGGTTTTGGCTAAAGTTCCTACTTCTTTAATTATTTCTAGTTTTTATTAGTCTTGGTGTCCTCAGTTGGCGAATCTGTTCTTATTCACATTCTCCCATCTTTACCGATCCATGTTTTAAAAACCAAAAAGATGATCAACTTCAACAATAAACAATAAACAATAAAAGCAACTAACAAAAAAAGCATATTAAAACAATGAGAGATTTCCCCCACACATCCACTTGATAGAGTGGTTTTTGCACTGCACTGAAGGACCGGTGAGAAAGTGTTTCATATTCTTTATGGGACTGGAAATTACAGCAATGTTTTGGACAGCAGTTTGGCAGTATGTATTAAGATATATTGTAAATGTCCCATATTTGATTCAGAAATTTCACTGATGAAAGTAATATAGGGACTTACAGGTCCTTCCCTTCCCTTAGCTCTTCTTGGACTGATAGAGTGAACTTTCCTGCCTTTGCTTGTGTATGATTCTCATCTCTTCAGCCACACCCCAGGAAGGACTTTCAAATACAATCTCCTGTGAACTCTTTGCTTTTCATGATCCACTCTAGTATTTCTGAACACTGTGCTCTGTCCCTGAGGTGATCTTAACCCAGCCAGGAGACCAAGGTAGTGTTAGCATCTGACCATATAAGAGTATTATGTTCTTGCTTTATGCTGTTAATTTGATGGTGAAAATAAACCTGCATAGGATTCTGTAAGTTCTTACTAAGACCATGATATCTTTTTAATAAATTAATTACATCATAGGTGTATTTGGGCAGGTATAATTTTCTATAACATTTTATTTTGTTGAGAGGGCATGACTTCTTATTAATAAATCTTATCATTTAGCTGGGCAGTAAATCAAGACCCAGATCAATAAAGCCAAGATACGATAATTATGTCTTGGTTGCGTTAGCTATTGAAGCTGTGAATAAAAAATTCCCCGAAAGTCCTCTCATGAGAAAGAAGAATCACTAATATGACATTGTCATCTCTTTCTTGGGTCACTGTGCCTTTGCGTAGGAATGTAGTGTTCCCTTTATAAATATACAATACACATATTAGAATAAACACAACTTAAGTGCTTTTTGTCATTAAAAAATGTAGCCAGCCATTTGTTCCTGTGCTTAATTACTTTAGAGTACGTAAAAGGCACATAACAAAATCAGCTGTTGCCATGCAACAAGGATGGCACATTTGAAAATAACTATATGTTTACTAATTGTCATGGATTTTTGTTTACTCGAAGTGTTGCTTCGATGTGAAGAATGGAAATTAATGTGCATGCTGAACATTTAAAATTGGTCCCAAATGCACAAATGTGTTACTCTTCAGTGAAAATTCTGCAATTAAGGAAACTCCTATAGCTGGAATACTAATTTGACTTAGTTTTAAATAGTACAGAGATTTTTTAAAAACAAATAGTTTTTCTTGAGCTTCTAAAAAATATTACTTAGTTGGGTTTTTTAAAAATATTGTTAAGGTATCTTGTGGCCATTAACTCTTAAAGTCACATCTTGTGATCTTTCCAAATGTTTTGCATTTGATTTCCTTTTTTCATGTGTTCTTATCTATCCCAGTGTGGCTGGAGCACAGTGATCAAGAGGTGAAAGTGGTGAAAGTTAGGTTGGAGAAGTCCAGGGTTGTCAGAGATGGCGTTTGGGTTGTGCCCTGCACAATAGCACAGGCCGAGGGAGAGAAGGAGCTGCCATCCAGCCTGTGCTCTGCTCACCAAGCCCTGTGCCCTGCATGCGGCTGAATTCATCTCAGGAAGGGGTGCTTTGTTGATTCACACGAAGGTGTCATATAGGCTGGTGGTGTGGCCCTATGATTTTACTTAGTTTTAAAAGAGATCTTTTAAAAAAAATAGTTTTTAAAAAACAAAAATCCCAAGAGGCCTTTTGATTTTACACTAATGCACTGAGAAATCACTAAGAGGGAATAAGAGAATCCAATTTTTATTTTGTAAATGAAAAACGAACAGGATTTAATGCTGGACTGGGTGTGGAGGATAAGGGAGAGAGGGGAAGGATTTGAATAACGAGATGGATGGTGGTTCTAAGTCCTGAGATGGGGAGGGCTGGGGGCAGAGCAGGTGGAGACAGATTTTTGTATCAGGATTTCTGGTTCAGACACTTTATTTGAGACACCTGTAAAGTTCCTAAATGGCTACCAGGAAGCAGGTGGATGTAAGTACCTAGAATTCACAGGAACATCTGTTCTTTTCTCTGAATGCCTGTAAGGTGTTCCTTGTCTTTAGTAGTCCAAGAGCAACACATCTGAACAACCCTCTGTGTTTCTAAATGATCATCAACATCCTTTCCCCTAAACAATCCAGACATTTATTTTGAGAGAGCCAAAAGAATTTATTGCAGTGAATATAAGTATAATTGTTTAGCCTTGGGGCAAATGCTCAGACCTACAATAAACCTAACGACCCCACACTGGAGCTAGGCTTCTGTCTGTACTTTATTTCATTTAAAGGGCTTCCCACAAACCTTCATAGCAATCTCTCTGCTTCCTGGTAATCTGGTTTCAGTGTTCCCTTGAGAAATGCAGATTGACATCTCTCCTCTTCTTATGGTGACCTCAACCACAGAGTCTCACTAAGTCAAGTCTGACAGTTTTTCTCCCAAGTTATCTGGCATTAACTCCCCCTGAGGATTTATAATCATGGCACAGTGTAAATCCAGAGCCAGCCTGTCGCTGGGATCTCTTCTCTAATCTCACCAGACAAACTCCCAGGCCTGAAGGAATCCAGGACTCACTCTCTTGCTCCAGTAGCAGAGCCAAAACCCAGGGTTAAAACCCACAAAGGAGAGAGATGTTGGCTCAGCTAAAGGAAGCGGTGCCTAATGCTTAGTGCTGTCTGGAAATGGAAACGCCTGCTGGGAAAGGAGTGAGTTACAGTTTCTGGTGGTGTGGAGGCACAGTGCAGACAATCATTTGGTGTGGATTCCATGGCAGAGACTGAGGGATCAGGGCACAGAAGTAATCCACATTGACTATTATAACCCTGCTCATGCTACAGCTTTTCTTAGATGTTTCATCACATTTCATCCTCATAAGGACCCACAAGGGAACTTTAGTCATAACCTCACCAGGAGAAATTACCTACACTAATAAAAGAGAGATATATAAATTGGCCATCATTCCACGAAGCCCACCAGCCAATCATGAGTGAGTATGCAAATTAGCGGAACAAAGATGGCAATGGCCACAGAGCCAGCCAGAGTGAGCGGGAGGCTTGGGTCACCATTGGCAATAGAGGAAGCCAAGCTTCCTGCCTTCCTGGGGCCTGTGAGCAGAGAACACAGAGCCAGCCTGGGCATGTGGGAGGCTTGGGTTGCCGTTGCCCTGGCCAGCCACCAAGGGAGGGGCTTGCAAATGGCCCTTCGCCCCTTACCCAGGCTGGCCATGCCTCATGGGGTGAGGGTTCCCACTGGGGCCATGGCCAGCCTGCAAACAACCATCAGCCCCTCACTTAGGCTGGCCAGGCCCCCCAGCGAGAACCCTCACCCCATGGGGGCACGGCTGGCCTGCAAACTACCCAGCCCCTCACCCAAGCCAGCACTGTCCCCAGTGGGGACTCTCACCCCAAGGCCTACAACCCACCACAGGCCCCTTGCCCAGGCCACCCCGCCTCCCAAGGGAATCCCCACCCTGCTCCAGGACACCCTTCAGGGCAAACCAGCTGGCCCTCATCCATGTACCAGTCCTCTATCTATACTAATGAAAGAGTAATATGCTAATTAGACTGAGAGACCTTCCAGAAGACCTTCCAGACGTTCTTCTGGACAAAGCCATGGGGCTGAGGTAGAGGCGGTTAGGTGCCAAGAGGGGAGGGCAGTTGTGGGTGACCAGGTTGTAGTTGGGGTCAGGTGGGGGTGATCAGGCCAGCGGAGGGAGGGAGGGGTAGTTGGAGGTGGTTGTGGGCAGTTGGAGGTGAGCAGGCCGGCAGAGGGGAACAGTTGAGGGTGATAAGGCTGGCAGGGGAAGCAGTTGGGGGCAAGCAGGCTAGCAGGGAGAGTGGTTAGGGGCAATCAGGCAGGAAGGCAGGTGAGCGGTTAGGAGCCAGCAGTCCTGGATTGCCAGAGGAATGTCCATGGGATCTGGCCTAAACTAGCAGTAGGACATCTCTCAAGAGGTCCCAGATTAGAGTGGGTGCAGGCTGGGCTGAGGGACACCCGACACCCCCCACTCCCCACGCCCGTGCACGAATTATGTGCATCTGGCTACTAGTAGTCACAATAACATCATACAAGTAGAAAGTGTCAGAACCAGGATTTAAACTCAACTTTATTTAAATCCAAAATCCTTTTTTATTCTTTCCACTATTCATAGAAGCTTGTGAAATTGAGCTAAGGGATTTCTAAAGTTCCTTCCAGCACTGAGATTCTGAGTCAAAATATGGATGCAGGCCTTACTGACCCATGTTTTCCTTAAACAGCCTCCTGGCCACAATCATATTAAAATGATCATCTATGGTCTCCATCAAGAAAGGACCATTAAAAACTCAACATTTGTACTTTATATCCCCTCTGAGCTTTCAACAGAACTTAGTCTAAGGGCCTCAAAATTTTTTTAAAAATAGGATTGCTGGCAAGGACTGTGTTTACAGTATAAATATACAGAAGACAAAGCTATTAATATTTCTCAAAACTGTAATCATATATTGTTTTAACTTTTCTACTTATTTTCATCTCTTAGATCTTAAAATATTTGACCCAAGGTCAATTTTTCTGGCCTAAGTTCTGAGTCAACTTTTTAAAAAATACTAGAATTTAAAAATTAGGTTAACTTTTTGAATTAGAATTAGAAATTTTAAAAAATATTAGAGTCTGGCCCAGCCCCAGTGACTCAGTGGATAGAGTATTGGCCTGCAGACCCAAGGATCCCGGATTCGATTCCAGCCAGTCAAGGGCACATGCCTGGTTGCAGGCTCCTCCCCGGACCAGGCTGTGGTCAGGGCTCAGGCAGGAGGCAACCAATTGATGTGTTTCTCTCGCATCAATATTTCTCTCTGTTTTTCCCTCTCTCTTCCACTCCTTCTAAAAAGCAATAGAAAAATATCCTCAGGTGAGAATTAAAAAATATTGGAGTCTGAAAATAAGATTAATTTACTTATTTTAAGGTAAAATGGTTTTATGTGAGTGTTAAATGCTATTTTTTAGATTGAAGCTGAACTCGCCAAGGAAAGAGCTCAACATTTAGTTGAATTTGAAGAGCAAGCTCTTCTCTTTAAGGAAGAAGCTAAACTGGAACTTGATATTGAAAGAGAAAAACACCAAGAAATAATCCAAAAGTATAAGAAAGAACAAGAGGAGCTACAAATGAAGGTCTGTCATTCTGATGATCACCATTAATGGGTTTAACACTGTGGATGTTGGTTATTTCCTCCTGAGAGCACTGCTGGACTTAGAACTCCAGCAGTTTTCGTCATAGACACTGGGCCTTGTTTTACCTACATAGGTAGAATGGTTTGGATATTCTCCAGGATGAATAGCTGATATAAATTATATAAGCATGCAATCCAACTATGTATGGAATTTTTTATAAAAACAAACTTATGCCCTAACTGGTTTGGCTCAGTGGATAGAGCATTGGCTTGTGAACTCAAGGGTCCTGGGTTTGATTCCGGTCAAAGACATGTACCTTGGTTGTGGGCACATCCCCAGTAGGGGGTGTGCAGAAGGCAGCTGATCGATGTTACTCTCATCGATGTTTCTAACTCTCTCTCCCTCTCCCTTCCTCTCTGTAAAAAATCAATTATATATATACATTATATATATATATATTATATATTATATATAAAAATCAATAATATTATATACAATATATATTATATATAAATATATATATATTTATATAAATATATATATATATAGAGAGAGAGAGAGAGAGAGAGAGAAGTATCACATGATCTCACTTAGAAACATCGATGAGAAACATCTCTCATCGATGTTTCTAAGTGAGATCATGTGATACTTGTCTCTCTATATAAAATCAATATATATATTTTATAAAATCATTAACAGTTGGTGTAAAGTAAGCATCAAGTGGGATTGGATGGCCTCTGGTTGGTGTACAGGGGATATGGTACAACCTTCTCAAAGGCAGGCCCGGCTACAAGCTTGTATGATAAGAACAGTATCACAGGGCCCCATACTCAAAAAGGCCTCATGCTTTGGGTATAATGCTCTGCAGATGCTATTTTGAAATTCTTAATAATGTTTCCCTTTTTATCTGAAAGTGTTACACTATCCCTTTTCCCCCAATTGTCCCCCTCCACTTGGTTTCCACCCCTCCCTAGGCCTTTACTGCACTATTGTCTGTCCATGGATTATGCATATCCTATATAACAAAATGCTAATATGCAAACCAACTGAACAGCAGAATGGCCAGTCACTATGACATGCAGAAGGTCAATGCAGGAGCTGCCCCCTGGTGACCAGTGAGCTCCCACAGTGGGTGTGCCGCTCAGCCAGAAGCTGGGCTCAAGGCTGGCGAGTGCAGAGGTGGTGGCAGTGCTAAGGATATCCAACTGCTGGCTTAGGCCCACTCTAGGCCCACTCTAAGCTGTCAGTTGGACATCCCCAGAGGGCTCCTAAACTTAGAGAGGATGCAGGCAGCTGAGCCCCCCACCCACCACAATGCATAATTTTCAAATGCAAATAAGTTCTTTGGTTAATCTTTTCCTGCCCCGTCTCCTTCCTCTGAAATTCATCAGTCTGTTGAATGCTTCAGTGTCTCCGGATATATTTTGTTCATCAGTTTATTTAGTTCATTAGATTTCACAAATAAGTGAGATCATGTGATACTTGTCTTTTTCTGGCTTATTTCCCTTAGCATAATACTCCTCAATTTTGCCTTTCAATTTGTGTTTTATCATATAAGTGAAGTCCTATTGGAATAATGGGGCACATGCGGGGGAACTTGGAGCCTTGGCTCACCCAAGGTTCCGCCTCCCCGAGGCAGGTTCTCTCCCAGGCAGATCTCTTGCTTCCCATCCTCTACCCCCTGCACCCTAGGTCACCACTGGCTCCCCTTGGCATGCCCTCCCGTCCCGTGTTTTCTCCCCACCCCGCCCCCCGTCACCTTGGGACTGCTGTCTCAGGGTCCCATCTGCAGGGAAATGTCAAAAGGCAAGGGTTTCTGTTTTTTTCAAGAGAACTCCTAAGTCCAGATTTTTAAAGTGAACGTTTTGAATTTTAAATGTTGACTCCCTTTTTAAAAGAAAATCAGAACACACTTGTGACCATGTGAGCCTCCCTGCCAGGGACAGCCTGCTCTGTTTCTTTGCCATGTCTCCTCGGGATGATGGAAACTACTGTCCAGGACTAGCAGTGACCCTCTTCCTTCCTGGATTAATTGGAGATCATGGCATATTAATTTAATTTATAAAATTACCACTAAGTGTGGTAAATAGATTTCTTGAAGAAGTTATTCTTAATGTAAGTTTAACATTTGAAACAAATTGTAGAGGCTTAATTCTTAAGTAAGAGTTCACAAAATCGTTGGGACTTTGGTCTCCGAATGTTTTCCAGATTCTTCCATGGATTGGTTTCTTGTTGTCCTAATATGTATTGCTTGTCAATATCCGTGGCATAAATAATAAGGATCTGTTTCATCAGAAGCAGCTTTGCTCTTCCTGCTTTGTTTTCTGTTCTTTGTTTTGTTTTTCAAGGCGAGAGAAAACAGTCTTTCCCCTTCTAAAGACTGTCATGACTAGTTTCCCCAAGATATTCACTCTTCTCTTTATCAAGAGGCACCACCTTGAAAAGCAGTCTATTTTATAATATTCTGGTGTCCTCTAGAACTGTACTGTATACTATGGTAGCCACATGTGACTACTTAGATTTCAATGAATTAAAATGAAGTCACATGAAAAATTCAGTCCCTCAGTCCCATTGGCCACATTTCCAATGCTCATTGGGCGGTACTGGCAAGTGAGAGCCTATTGTGCACTTCTCTTCCAGACTCAACGATAAGTGATGCCCCTTTGGTAGCTTGGAACTGGTCATGGTGAGCATATTTATGCTGTGGAGATAGATAAGACCTGGCTATGTGTGCTTGTGAGTCAGTTGTTAAACATTTACCAGCACACACTGTCCGTAGCCACCTGTGACCAGTGGGGTACCCTATTGGACATCCCAGAATATTTCTATCATCACAGAGAGTTCTAGTGGGCAGTAATGCTCTAGAACAGCGATCGCCAACCAGTAGTCTGCGGACTGGTGGTCCGTGAGGTCCGAAAGGTTGAAGACTGCTGCTCTAGAAGGTATAGTTTCTGAGCTACATCCAGTCATTAGAGATAAGAAGAAAAACAATCTCAAAGGAAAACTTATTGGTCTGATAATGAATAAAATACAATGGTTGTATTCCCCTATGTGCATCCACAAGCATTGGGCATTTTTAATTACAAAGCCACCCTGTAGTGAATCCAGATAAAAACACAAGCTATTCTTGGTAGCTTAATTCAGTTACAGCGATTTATATATTTCCAAGGATGCCCAAATGATTAATGCAATCCATTCAAGGTGGCAAAAATAAAGTGTTAGTCTTTAACTTTTAAAAAGAAAATCTCAGAGGCCTACATACGTCATAGGATTTGTTTTCTTCTGATCAGCAGAGTACACTGAGTATTTAGAATAAGCCTCTTAAAACCATAAGAACTGTGTCTACCTAGAGATATTGCCTAAAAACTAATACAAGATTTATCTTACAGATATCAGACCTAATCTCAGACGCTACTAGAGATCTAAGGCTGGAAGTGGCCACTCTCGAAAAAAAACTCCATGAATCTTGTATCCAATATACTGAAGAATCTGAGTCGAAGGAGAAGGAAATTGAAAACCTTAAAAATCTGGTTGCAGATTTTGAGTCTCGCTTGAAGAAGGAAATTGACCAGAGTGACTTGGCTTCAGAGGACTTGAGGAAGGAAATGAAACAGAAGTCCGATGAACTGGAGAGAGTGTTGCTGGAACAGATGCAGCTGACACAGCAAATTCAGCAGTCCCAGCAAGAGGTAGGACAGACGTTGGCACCACTGCAGTTAGAGAGAGAGCACATGTTCCTTCAAAAACCATCCAAACAACCAAACAAACAAACAAACACATACTAGGCAGCTTGGTGTCATGCAAAACGTTCTGGACTGTTAGTCAGAGACCTGGGGTCACATCCTGGTTTTGTCCTTAACTAGACAGTCACTTAACCTTTCTGGACCTGGCTTCCTTTTCTGTAAAATGAATATATTGAACTACATAATCTCTAAGGTTTTTCTCACCACCCAGTTCTACTGAGTGGCAAATGACCTTTTAAAACATCTGAGACTAGTCATCTTTATATGTCTTGCTGGTTTTGGCATTAAATCTTTGCAAAAAAAAAAAATCAAAAAAACTTTTAGAGCACTTGCTGCTTTAGTTCAGATAATGTTTGGACAATATATCTTACATGTGATTTTTCTTTAGGGATTTACTTTCTTTCAATCTAAATTTACATGTGCTGGTCTTCTTTCTTATGTATGCATAATTATTTTAGCAATGTTTCTATTTAAACTGGAGTAGACATATTTTGATTAATTTTATTTTTCTAACAAAAGTCTGATTTCTGAACTGCTAGGCAGAAACAAACATAGATTGAATGTGTATGTCCCTTAAAAAGTCATGAAACCTAAACCCCAATGTAATGATTATTTAGAGGCGGGGACTTTGGGATATATTTAAGTCATGAAAGTAGAGCCCTCATGAATGGATGAGTTACCTTATAAAAAGAGAACCAGAGAGCTCCCTTATTCCTCTCACCATGTGAGGGCAGGGGAGAGAACATCTATGAGAAAGGAAACAAGTTCTCAACTGACACCAGATCTGCTTGTGACTTGATCATGAATTTCCCAGCCTCTGGAGCTTTTGAGAAATAAATTCTATTTGTTGTTTGAGTCACCCAGTCTATGGTACTTTGTTATAGCAACCTGAACTGACTAAGACAGTTGAGCAATTAATCTACTCTCTAGTCACCAAAGTTATGTCACATAAGAATATGTGATCCCATGAATGACAGTATAGCAAATAAAGGCAAATGGAGGAAGGTTCTGAATGTTAATGACAAGTAATACTTTTGTTGGTTTTATGGGCATCTTAATAAAGGAATAAAAAGAAAGTGCTAGTAATAACATTGATTATTAACAACTAAATTATACCATGCTCTTGCTGTATTTAAATTATCAGGCAAAGTAAAACATATATGCCATCATTAGACTTGTAAAGTGAATCTTTTGCAAAGGAGTTATTAAAATAAGTTAAAGTGGGAATGGAAAGAATGCTAGGTCAAGAGCAATGCCTAAAGAGCCCTAAGAAGTAGAAATTATTTCCGTGTTATAAATGAAGAGGGTTGAATCACTTCTAGAAGGTCACACAGCATGGTGGAGCCAACATTCATTGATAACAGTGTTTCCTTTTTCTGGATAACAGTGCTTCCTCTTTCAGAAGCCTGAGTTATAGCGATTCTGCTTCTAAGTACAATAGTTTAGTGACCCCAGGTCTTAGCACTCATCTCCAAGCCTCATTTCTTCCTTCCTTCCTTCCTTCCTTCCTTCCTTCCTTCCTTCCTTCCTTCCTTCCTTCCTTCCTTCCTTCCTTTCAAAATGATGGTAAACACACAACTTATTCTGCCAGATGCTTAATGGATCAGATGATTGAGTGTCTCCTGTTGGAAGAGGGTAAAACAATGTCCCTAGCAAAGGAGCCGCTTCACCAGTGCAGGCAGGGGTGAGGGGAGGCACACAGGGCTCAGCTCCACTGGAAAAACCCTGAAGGGAGAGAGGTGACGCAATTTTGCTTCAAATGAGGCAGGAGTGTTGAAGTTCTAGAGGAGCGACAGCAGGTTAACACATGAAGCACCCAGTCAGTCACCGGTGACTGATACTATACTTTCCATCCAGAAGACAAAACAGGCGGGGCACTTAACACGTTAAAGGGCAGAAAGATCAAGGCAACTAGACCAGCAGGTTTTCTCATTTCCCAGGCTCCAGAATTGTAAGAGAACCCAAAGAAATGACAAAGTGTAAAGTGAGAAGCAATTTATAAACTAGGACAAGTAGAAAAAGACAGGTCAAATTCACAAAATATATTGAGCATCTATCCAGGTGCCAGACCCTGTCCTGGGTACTGGATCTCCCATTATGAACAAGACTGACACAGCCATTCTCTGCTCTCAAAGAGGACTTTAAAGAAAGTTTTATTTGAGTAATTACATTTACATCAAGAGGCAAGAATGGCCTAAACAGCAACTTATATAAAAAGCATAGACTAAAGTTAAAAAATTGTCCTTAAGGTCCTATATTAGTTTTTCATTGTTACACAATAACTAGCTGTAAATTCAGTGGTTTCAAACAACAAACGTTATCTCATAATTTCTGTAGGACAAGGATCTGAATGTGACTTAGCCGGGTGCCCCTGGCTCAAGGCCTCTCATGAGGGTTGGTATCAGGTTGTCAGGGGCTGCAGTTTCATGCAAAGGCTCAACGACTGGTTTCCAGGCTCACTTTATGGTTGTGAGCAGGATTTATTTCCTCGTGGGCTCTTGGGCTCAGAGCCTCAGCACCTTGCCGGAGGTCAGAGGCCTCCCTCAGTTCCTTACAGCATAGACCTCTCCTCAGAGCAGCTCACCGCAGGGCAACTGGCTTCCCTTAGAACAAGCAAGTGAGCAAGAATGAGAGAGTGCAAAAGAGGATGGTGCCCAAGAGAGAAGCCACAGTCTTTTTGTAATCTCATCTCGGCAGTGACATCCCATGGCCTCTGCTGTATTCTACTCATCACAAACGAGTCAATAAGCCCAGCTCACAGTCAGAGCAAAAGGGATTGCACATGAGTGAGAATAGCAGGAGGGTAGGCATAGGGGGCCATTTTGGGGCTCCCAATCTCAGGGCCCCTGGAGGTGATTTTGGCAAAAGAAATGACTAAAAGTGGACAGTGAATGTCATTTTCAGACAAAAGGAGCTACATTTGGAGCTCTTCTTGCTCATTCGTTGTAAAAGGAAGCCGCTCAGGCCGAGGGTGGGGTGGGCTAGAAAGGGGTCAAGAGGGAAAATGGGACATATGTAATACTTTCAACTATAAGGACTTAAAATATATATATAAAGCAGACTTTTGAAAGATCAGGAGGCCGAGATGGTTTATAAATGATTATAGATCATTACTGGGGAGTAGAGAGGGATCGATCATTCCACAGGGAAAGTTATCTACTAGCAAGGACATGCCAGGGGGGCAAATTTCCTTTTGCTGGCATGAGGAGAGGGGAGGGGAGGCTAGATTTTCCAGTAGAAGTTAAATAATTATAACCGAACAGTAAGAGTAAATAATTAAGGCTGCTTCTCTGATTAAGCATGCCAACACCCAGAATTTCTTATAAAAATGGGAAATTGGCCAATAAAAGCGATTGGTGTTCCTGGCCAGAAAGAATGGAGGTTGCAGCATACAAAGTGAAAGCACCACTCTTTTGGCCATGCATTCCAGACACTCGAAATTTCTTAGGTCCTGGAGAAGAAAAGCCACATTTAAGTGGAGAACAAATTCCCTTTAGAATGAAGATAAATTAGCACTCGAATAAGAAAGCTAATTAAGGAGAGGAACGTCCTGCTCTCACTCAAGAGGCCAGAGAATGGGTGGACTTTGCTTTTCATTGTGTGAAGAAAGTTCTCAAGGATAGGAGGAAAGCCCTAGCTTCTAAAGGGCAAAATGGGCATTCCTGTGTGGAGCGGGGATTGTGGGAGAGCAGCCCCAGAAATAAGGGTCAGGAAGGTGAAGCCACAAAGATACAGGTCAATAAGAAGAGAGAAAATGGAAAATAAAACTGTAAGGGAAATGTAAATGTGAAAGGGGGCCCTGAAAATTCCTCAGAGGGTACAGGCTCACAATAAAAAAAAAAAATCACAACGTTAAAAAGAAAGGGAAGTCAGAGAAAACAACAACACATAAAGTGCTAGAGAATAGGACATTACCATTTAAAAGCAGGTCAAAATAGAGCACATGCTTTTCGCTGCCAGTTTTCCTTCCTACTAACTCCATGTGAGTCCTGTTGGGACAGTGTAGCCCACTGTTAAGGGCATTGTTGTGATCCAGAAAAAGAATGTAGTAAATTTTATTTTTTATTTTATTTATTTATTTATTTTTAAATATATTTTATTGATTTTGTACAGAGAGGAAGGGAGAGAGACAGAGAGTTAGAAACATCGATGAGAGAGAGTCATCGATCAGCTGCCTCTTGCACACCCCCTACCGGGGATATGCCCTCAACCAAGGTACATGCCCTTGACCGGAATCGAACCCGGGACTCCTCAGTCCCCAAGCTGACGCTCTAACCATTGAGCCAAACTGGTCTCAGCAGAATGTATCAATAGTAAATTTTAAAAAGCAAAACAAAACAAAACAAAACCAGTTTATGTATAACAACCAAAGGAAACACAGTACAGAGAATTCAGTATTTTTGTTGTCGTAAGGCTATAGATAAAGAAAACAAAGGGGCAGACGTTTTAAATTCTACCAGTTCCTGTGCCATCTAATGACAAGGAAAGATATTAAAAAAATAGAAAGGAATGCTTTTGTTAAACATGGAGAACTGAATACATATGTTTATCTCTAGTACGTCCCAAAACACCACTAAAATGACAGTAAATTATTAAAAGTGAATAAATTCATAAGGAAAGGAAAACAAGAGAGAAGTTGACTCTAGATGTCAACTACATTTTGGGAAATGGAAAGCAAAGTATGGGTGAAAGGAAATTAGCAGATTATAGGACATTGAAACCTAATGCCTCTGCAGAGTGTGGGAATGGGGTGAAATACTTAAAGGAGCAAACCCAATTACGTGCCCTGGCAGTGGAATGGCCCGGGATTAGAGACACCAGATACCTATGAGAGAGGGAGAGAAGAATGGATTTGAAAATAGGACTGTTTGAATGATTATTAAAGGAGCAGATAGATGCTCAGATGCCCTCCCTAAACTCAAGTTTCCCCTACCCATTGTCCTGGC